GCTTTTAGAGAGCCTTTAAGAATTCACAGGAAATTCATCTCACTTCCAAAATCAGACTTTATCTCCTGTCTCTTTCCCGTCACACACTAGTTTGTATCCAGGAATATTCTCTGAACAAAGACTAGCAAACAGACCAGCCAGGAGCTTTGGGAATGCACTAACCAGGGAACACAGTCTGAAAACAGTACAACTGAACAACAACAAAAAAAGATGGAACAGAAAGAAACCATATGTAGTAAGGATTAAATAGGATTTTTTTTTTTTAACTTAAAATACTTTAGCTGTGAATTGGGAAGAATGGGATTTCTAATATCAGCCACAAAATATGCTTTCTTGAAGCAACTGGGAGAGGCACGTTACTGCTTACTGTTCATGTAAGCAAAATGTAGATACAAGGGATCAAGATTTCCTTTGGGGCTCAGCAAAGACATTACCCTTTTTGGAAGGAAAGGCGGCCAGCTTTGGGACATTGCGGCAAAGTCTACAAAATTACTAATCTCATCACTACTCCCTAAATATTATCAGTTATCAGAAGTCACATCACAGCACCTTAAGGCTTATTCCGTCTTGAGAGAGCAAAGTCTACCCCAAATAATGAGAGCTGAGCCAAAAATGTCTCCCATGGTTGGTTTAAGAGGACAAAATTGCAAATACCTCAATAGTTAAGAGAAGCATACTGCAATTTCCAGTGTCTGACCTGAAATAATCCTAATAGGGCAATGTAGCTCCTCCCTCCTTTACAGAACCACTTGAAAAACAGCAAGCTTTTTCATTGCAAATGCTGACTCAAAGGTCAAGGAAGTCAGGGAAAGACTGTCCTTTACTTACCATATTGTCCTCAAGCCCTTTGACCACTCTTGGGGACAAGATAGGAGGTGATGCAGACCTTTACTGAGACTTAGCAAAAGGGAAATTAGACTGTCCTGGATGTACTTCCCAGGCTTTGGGAGTTAACAATGAGATTAGCTGCACAGGGATTTCTCTGTGTTTCTCTATTTCCCTACTATTCCTCCAGTCTCAGCAATTTTCTTTCTTTGAAAATAAAAATAATCTGGAGCATGAAAAAAACCCAAGTGAAACACATTTAGAAAGATCAGGTACTGCAAACAACTGATACGCACATTTTTATGACTACCATATTGTAAAATAATTACCAAGATCAAACTGGGTACTACCAAGTGATTCAGAAGTATATAGTTCAAAAAGTGATAAGCACAAGTCACAGCCTTGAACTGCAAAAGATACGCTCCTTAACTAGTACAAAATTTTCTCAAGAAGGAATCTTCCGCACAAAAAGATCCAGAAACTGTAGCGGAGAAACAGCTGCTGGCACAGACCGTTGATCAGACAGGTTAAAGAACTGCCTAATTTACAAGTCCTAGTATTTCTAGATCTCCAGTACATAATTCTGTTTCTTTCCGAATTGTGCCTGAAGAAATAAATAGCACAAATTCTTTTCAAATGTTGACTCAAACAGGTAACTCTTAATTACATACTACTTAAAACCGAGACAGTCTGTATCATCCTAGATGAGTACTGTTTTCCAATCGCTTTTAGTAAAAGTGAAAAGATCAACAAAAACAGGTTTTCTGTATTAGTTTCATGGAACTTGAGTTTACTCTAGATAAAATTAAAAAGCCAAAAAAGAATAGATGTTAAGTTAATCAAATGCAGGGGAGGAAATACACATTTCTGTGGTTTAATTCAGATTTTTCAGAGAAAACTTAAAAAAAAAATCTAGATTTGCAAAAATCACCCTCTGATACAGGTATTATTTGATAATTTTGTTTTCTAAATCCTACTAACCTCTACGATTTCTCTATCTTCTCCCCAGCTCTGTCTCTCCTTAAAAGAAGTTACACACCATTTATCTGTTAATGAGGTGTTACAGCTGAAATTTGAATCACACAAGACTCAGGAAATTCAGAGTTAAAGTTTCCACAGTAACTTTAACTTGGCCTCCTTAAATACATGCATTACAATAGGTTTTTCTTTTCTCTCACTCCACTACCCCCATCCTCACTGCCTTGTTTTTCCCTGTGGATGTGCTTTTGATCCTGTTTATCAGTTACAGAAGATTCTCAAATGTTTCCCACTTTGAAGCTGCTTCAGGTCTGTTGCCCGCTAGTAATGTTGGAAGCACTGACACAGGCGAGATCTAAGTACCAGCAGCTTACACAGAAGTGAAAGCACACAGCAGCGAGGCTACACGGTGTAGAGGGCACAAAAAGGGAAGCAAGGGTTATCCACTTGCAACTGCTTAACATGTCCAGGAAACTGAAGACCCCTTGCCACTAACACTGGGGGTGCACGCAGCACACCATCTCCTTTAGTCACTTAAAACTGGAAGAAACAGAATAATATCCCTCGCCAGAGCCAGTAAGAAACTAAGCCACAAGAGTTAAAGCAAGAAATACTACCAATTGCTTTTAAAAGTCTTGTTTGCACACCTAGAAAACTTCTTTTGGTATGAGATTTAAAACTCTACGCTCCTCTTTAGTGCTGCCTTCCTCCTCTGTATCTTCTTGGCATACTCGGTACAAACCCTCCTCTCTCATTTCCTAATAAATATCGCAAAAGTCAGCTAATGCCACCTAGTAAACAAATAGTAAGATGCTCTAAACACACAAAACAAATTTAGCCAGTAAGGTGCTTAAAATGATGCCAGATGCTACTAATTTATCTACACAAAGAATTCCTGCATGTCCAACACTGATAGAGTTAAGCTGATTACTCAGTGTCACACAAGTCAGGTTCCAGGTCTCTGACAAGGCTCCTGAAAGAAAATTAACAATAAGCTTTTTGGCAAAAAAAAAAAAAATAGTAAAGTGCTCTTTAGTACAGTTTAAGCCAGGGAAAAAGAATTTAAAAAAAGGAAGGAATAAAATCTAAGTATTTTTTTCCACTTTCAAATAGAAAGCCAGTAAAGTTCGGGGACTGACCTTGCCAAAAAAAAAAAAAAAAGGGGGGGGGGGGAATTTTTGTGAACTTTGCTAGTTTTTAGAATGTTTGAATTATTACATTTCTTTCCTTTTCCTCTGAGGGCATACAAAGCCAAAATATTTTCACAAGGTCTTTCTAGTTTGACTAAAGACACTACTAACAACCCCCAGTATTTTTATCTCAAAAGAAGCTAAATATTAATACTCAATATTTAAGGACTGCCAGTAGACAGTATTAAGCCTGTTTTATGGAGTAAAAAGCACATGAAGAACCACCTCAATTAAAAATCAGTCCATTATTACTTACTTTTCCCTATTTTCTCTTAGCTACTTTTGGCTGAATGGCTAGCAAGAAGAAAACAGAAATGCATAATCATACCCTATTTTGGGAGTTTACAAATGGGGTTTCCTGCTGCTCTAACTGATAAATGATGCATTTGAACATTCCCACATATGATCTAAAGAGTATCACGACCATCTAGTGTGGGATGTCAAAAAATCCACCCATTTAAGGACCTGCAGTTCTCTGTATTTTTATAGGCTTAGATTCACACCAGTAGCAATGGCAGACAGGCTGATGAGCCGGTTCTACTAAAACCTGCATCTTTTACTTCATTTTGATGGAATTTTTCATATTTTAGAAGCCATAATAAACCCCATAAAAACTGGGCTTTACAATGTAGCACAGAATTCAGTGCTTGAACAAACATTCTAAAGAATACTCTTAGGCAAACAGGTTTCAGTTAGGCAACTATGTTACATTAACGATTTACTAGTATTTTTGCTTGATACGAATTTGCAACAGTTTGACCCGAAAACACACCAAATCATCCTCTAAACAAATATTAACTTTTCAGCAAAAGGGATGTCTGAAATCCAAGTACAAAACCATACCTGCCATGGATCCAGCCATTAATCGATGCACATGCCCTGAAATCCCAAGTTGCTTCTTTATTACCTAAAAAATACAGAACATTTACAAGAGTCACATATCAGAAAATACAGAGAAGTACATCACACAGTTTATTAGCACAGTAATGCAAACTCTGTAGCTGTTTCCCAGAAGTTTACAACACAACAAATTCAAACCAGAGGATTTTATTACTGCGAAAAGAATTTTCTGAACATTGCTGCTTTATCAGATTCTTACTAGAAACACAAAAGTGCAGAGCGATGGCAGAGCGATTATTTGCAAGTATTTGTACTGTTTACTCCAGAAACTAGATTGATTGTTTATTTAGTTTTCTTACTAAAAACACAAAAGTGCTAAAATTCTACTGACATGGCAGAGCGATTATTTGCAAGTATTTGTACTGTTTACTCCAGAAACTAGATTGATTGTTTATTTAGTTATATTTAATGTGTGTCAAACAAGGCAAACTGAACACTATCCTCCTTGCATGATAGAGAGCAAAGGACACCGAGCAAAGCTGAAAAGCGACAGATTTGAGAAAAGTAAATTTTACTTCCATGCACAGCATGTAAAACATTCCTATATTTTCACCACTTGAACGGGATGGATGGATAGATAAATAAATGGAGCAGGGAGAAATCAGACAAGCATCGGAGAGCAAGAACTTCCTAAGATACATTACATCCTAGAATGAAGTCAGAAGCTTTTATCAAAGAACTGAGACTATTTAAGAAGCAGTTTCTGCTATAAAGATCATTTCATATCCTCCCTAAGAATTGTTTGGTTTTGTCATTTTACACATTCCTGAAAAACATCTTGAATGGTTTTGTCAATTAATAGATAAACAGCTCTGACACCGAACTGTTACTTGAAATTTGCAGTTTTGTAAATCATTTCATTATAAAGCATGGCGTGCTGTCTTTTATTCAATACAATATAAAACAAGCATAGACTAGCAGCATTCATGATTACACCACCAAAAAAGGAACATGGGAAACTCATTACAGTAACTTCTTTCTATTAGCCTCCTGAAATTTGCTCTTTAGGGAAGGGTATCACAACTTCTGTCTCACTGTCTCCAGTGATGATCATTCAGTTTACTTCACTGGCGAGTAAATCTGACTTTTCAAACATGAAATTCCTCATCGCCAACAGTAAAATGGTATTTTTCATCACATATAAGCAACAAATAACACATTCATGATAACACCTGACCTAGAAAAAATGTTGTGGGGATTTATTATGAAAGAGTAAATGAACATGAGCAGAAAGGAATCCACCAATCTTGCAAGACCTTGAAATAACCATATTCTCTTCCAGGTCATTTTTATCTAGAGCCTGACATAGCATTTTGTCAGCTTAAATATAACAGTCACTACAACAAGCCATGTCGGACAGGGGTTTGAGCAACCTGCTCTGGTGGGAGGTGTCCCTGCCCATGGCAGGGCGTTGGAACCAGATGGTCTTTAAGGTCCCTTCCAACCCAAACCATTATGTGATTATTCACAAAAGGCTACCTTAAAGCAATACAAATAGCAGCATACTTTAGATTACCTTTTTCTCTCATTAAAAAAAAATATTATTCTCAACAATACAAAAGGACAAAAACCAGGGATTTTCTTTCCTTAAGCAACAGTACAAAAAAGTTTCGCTGTTGCCCTGACAATTTGCACACCCCAACAATTTTAATGGGTAGATTCAGATAAAATTAAGCAACCTCAGAAAAGACATGCAGATAATTAATAAGACACAAAAGTTTCAGTATTAGTTTTGATCATTTAAAGAACCTATATTCACTATAGGTAGGGAAAAAGAAAAGAAAATATATTCAACTACCTTTTTATATTGGTCAAATGCCATAAACTGAATTGCGCCATATGGAAAGATTCTAATCATCATTGCCCCATTTCCTTTATACAGCCCAAGGTAACCTTCCTTTTTGGGGACAGCACACAATGTAGAAAACACTCCTGCCAGCAATACAAAAAGAGGTATTTAACAATTACACTGCAGGGAGGGAAAAAAAAAATTCAAGCAAATATTACTGACAATAAAACAGTACACACAGAACTAAGACCAGCACAATCCGTCTGCTCATGTAACTATGGAGAGTGGAAAATCCACTTTCAACGCCCAAACACTACCAGAAGGAGGAGGGTTTAAGGTTAAGTTTTATCAGCTTTCTCGCCTCCTAGACTCAGCAAAACACTCAGGCCTCACGACCTGCCTGGGCTGCAGGTGATCCCCCTGCCATGATCCTACCCACTCGCAGAAACTAACATCAGCAATGGAAGGAAGGAAACTGGCTGACTTGCAATTCAGTCAATTCAAAATAAATACTTCAAAATCTAAAAACCATAGGAAAACAATTTAATATTGCAAAAGACTAAATGCCGTCACTGAGGAACTGAAGTAAACAAGCCTAAGACTGTCTACTTACTACTTAAACATCTTGCACTTCCAGTTGACAAACTTTCATTTGAAGTTTGGATAAAACAAGTGTTAGTTTCTGAGGTTCTATTTTTACAATGTCATGTTTATTACATGTCTCTGAAAACACTTATGCCATGATTAGAATTTCTCTACTCTGCAACAATGAGCTCCAGTTCTTACTTCTTAAAACGCACGTTCCAAGATCCATGTGGCACGAGATCCACAGAGCAAGGGCAGTAAAAACATTTCAGTGAGGACTTCACTGACCTAACTCATCATGCCCCTGCACTTAGAGGTGTCTCATCCACATCAGTTCCTTTTTTAGCCTGCATGTAACAAGGACACGCATTCAAGTCAGACACGTCTCAGATAATCAGCATCATATCTAACACCCTAAACAGGGAGGAATACAAGACTTTACTTGCCAGTTATTGCACAGTATGAAGCAAACAGAAAATACGGATTTAAAATACAAGTCAAACCAAACATTCCATCCTCCAATTCTCAGACTGCAGATTTGGGCACATACTTATGTGACCGTTGCCAAATCACCACGCTACTTGTGTTCCCTTTTGGTACAGTGAAATGAATATATATCCATTGACTTTTGTTTCAAGATTTATTTTTCCAGCCTTTAAAAAATTAGCTTTTGTATTTAAGTTAAAAATGCCAACGTTTCATTACATGTAAAATGAACCAACTCAAAACCATTATTTTTTTTCTTGACAGCTGCAACACACTTAAATCTCAGGCCGTAAGTGAGAACATATTTCAAGAACCTATGACATAAGACGTGTCAAATGCTATGCACAAGAGGGCACTGTTACAGCCCCACGGAG